CACCTTTCTCTGTTGTGGCTTCATGTTGAAATGAGAGAAGCTCCGACAACAGACACCTATTAAAGAACAACCATTTGATAACTATCAAAAGAAGACAAACAAAGATGTAAGCATAATTTATGTTTTATTCATAGTATGGACATTGCTAACGTACACACACACATTTCATTTGGTACTGATAGAATAATATGACATGGAAACAGTCTACAAGCGTTTTTGCAACTTCAACATTTTTACAACGCATTGCTTCAAACCATTCACCCATTCGGGTGATTTGAATGTATTGTCACGATAGTCCTTACACTGGTAAGGTACTAAATGGAAAGCAGCCATTGTGCACAGATCTGGAGCATCAGTCACAAGTTTCATCCATTTTCCTATTACCAGTTCATTGTCCGCATCCTCAAGTGCCGCGTTGAAGTATTTATCCACCTGCTCCTGCTCCGTCATGCGACAAGAATGTTCTCCCAAAAAGATTGGATCACCTTCTTCATTAAACAGACAAGGAATACACATTACACACACGAGCTGGCTGATCGTTTTACTCACTTCTAAAGAGTAACTCAACGTGAGAAGATCCTCTGCATGTTTCAGTTTTGTAGCCATATCCACTTTATCAGCGTCTTTAAATTTTCTCTTTGTATCTTTCGCGCATTCTTCCCTAACCACTCAGGTGATCTTGTTATGACTGGCTCATTTAGAGTGTGTGGCATCCGCATGACCTGCTTCCACGAGTAGAATGTAGTTTTCTTGCCTCTGTTCAAAATAGCAAGTTACATCACTGTAACACATTTAAAGTCATAAGTTTTCACTTGGCTCTGTGTTCATTATTTCATTTCTAACCATCATTAAGATCTGACCAAGTCTATTACTGCCTTTCCATTTAGATGGATTAAGAATATTAGGGTCATGCAGTGATAGACCCACACCCCACACACGATCATACGGACTCGTGTCTAACAGTTGTTTCTTCAGAAAAACAGACGGTGTGAATTTAGCTGAAGACGCTGCATACACCACACTGGAACTCACAGCATCCCATTGGCGTTGATTAAAACATCTCACACTTCTACCTAAACGTTTTTGTTCGGTGGCAGAAACACACTTTAAAATCGTATGCGCAGTTTCCCAATCTCTGAACATACAAGCTTTTTTATACATGTAATACTGCTCAGCACAGTTAAATGCTATTCCTTGGATAACAATCTCAGTAGAAAAATGTTGACTAAACACTGAAGTTCTGGTGTAAAAAAATACAAACTTGTCAGTTGTTCGGGTTCCCATGATCAGATTCAAGATGTATACTGGCGTGAAGATTTCGTCTTGTTGACAAGATCGCTGTTTAAGCTCGAATGAAAGCTTCAACAGTTAAACACTGCTTAACTTCTATAAAGTTGAATTTCATTAGTGTACTTTGACTTCCTTTAGCGTTTCATTGGTTACTGAGTAATCGTCGCAACATACATTTTATTAGTGGTTGAAACGTTGATCCTGGAATGTTATTGTTAACTTCTATTGTGTGAAAGGTATTGACTGGCCACTGTGGTATGCTTCACAAGAATGCTTTTGTTTGTTTTTTTACTCTACGCTCCATAGAAATGCTGCTCCACAGGAATGCTTTTGTTGGAAATTCGACGCTCAACAGGAATGCTTTTGTTGGAAATTCCACGCTCCACAGGAATGCTTTTGTTGGAAATTCCACGCTCCACAGGAATGCTTTTGTCCGGAAGGTAACAGGAATGCTTTTGTTGGAAATTCTATGCTCCCCAGGAATGCTTTTGTTGGAAAGTCTATGCTCCACAGGAATTTGTTGGAAATTCTATGCTCCACAGGAATGCTTTTGTTGGTACTCCACGCTCCACAGGAATGCTTTTGTCCGGAAGGTATTACTTTCTATCTACTGTTAATATAGCACAAAGGGTTATTACTTCTGTCGACGCATCAGTGGGTCAGTGAGAATACAAATTTCTTCTCTTGCTTCCACATAAGTCTACAACCAACGATGTATGGCAGACATCAATCAGTTGACAATATCATCCTTCCGGGTACCCATACGCCGATGTGTGAACAGAAGCGTTTTGTAAACTGTGAAGCTGTGTTTTCTGTCGACCGGAACCTGGAATCTCTTGGAATCAAGCTTCCGAGCGTCCTAACCCCTCCAGCTGAAATCCCCCACTAATCCTGCTTACCTGCCTCCCATGTGCCCTATTAAGTGGTCCACCTTCCACGAGAAGAACGTCGATGATGTTTGATGTGAGATTTAACCTCATTCGCGTCGCAATGCTGTCCTTTCACGGTTTTTACATGTAATATGAACTAAATATCAGACCGATGGCATTGAACCTGTACATTGGATAACCAACCACTGATTCCGCTAATTTTAACTGCACACAATACCTAATCAAATTCCAATGTGACTCCACTACTTTTGAGCCAATAACTCTGACAAATATACATTGGAATGGAAATAAGAATAAAGGTTTGAAATCACAAATCTATCACAAACTGTTCATATTATGTGGATCAACGATCCTGTAACTATACTGACTACAGATTTTTTATGGACCACAAAACCTATTCAATTGATTGGTCAGGCATAAGAAGGTCAGATCTCACGTGACACTTAATTTGCTGTGATACTTGGCCCCAGATACATATTCAAGGAATAAAGTTCATGATGAGTAAATATTGTCATTGAACCACGTGAAGATCCGGGTTAAAATCGCCATGCTTGTCCTAAGAGCATACAAACGGAATCGGGTGATCAAGCTCGCTGACATCGTATTCCAAAAGCGTAGATCGATGTTCATAATGTCAATCAATGGACTGTTTGTTCCAGACTCGATTAATAACAGACAGTCGTAATTTACAGTCAATATTTATTCCTGACATTGATGAGAGCGAGGGCCTAGTACATTGTTCTGTCATTCATAATAATTAAACATAATATTTATTTTATGACATATGAATATCTTCTAGGTAACACATTTAATATGTTGACCCAGTATGTAATGTAACTTCATTCATACATCAACAACCTTCCACACTTGCCATGTACCATTGTTATTTGAGTTCTAGGTTTCACAGTCAAAACCTTTTTTCACTTGTGAATAAGTGTACCTATTTTCAATAACATCAAAATTGTCTAAGTCTCAAATGTCCGAGGTATTTAAAAATACGAGGACTTATTTTTCCAAAGGTGGCCCTCCACAACACCCTTTCTCTTTCTATATGAGTTAGCACCACTTTCAAGGACTTCTACATTGGTTTCTTTCTGTATGGACAGTAGTTTTCGCTTCTTCACAATAACGCTCTAATGCATGTATTTACCTTTGTAAACAAGGTATCGTGCTCGAGACCATATGCTATGCCATCAGAAAGGAGAGGCAAAATAATATAATAGCTTCGGGGTGTTATTAATTACTATCTATGCAATTACTATGAATTTGATATACTAAATCAGTCATGAAAAATGGAAATAGAAAAAGACATAGTATACATCCCTGGCGGACACCGATGTTGCCTGTAAACATTTCTGATACACTTCGAAAACCTAACCTCTCATTATTATACGCATACAAAAGAATCCTATTTTCCAAAATGTCTTTGATAAAGTAATCACATATTGATTCTTTTCACAGAGTCAACTACATTATTTCCCTTTACTGATAAATATCTCTGTATTTTAGTAGGGTTAGGATTAAACCGTCGCCATTTGTAAAATACCCTTTCAAAACCCAGCTTGTGACACACTTATATTTTCGAAGGTATCTGCCTAGACTACAAACCTCTTCTTGACGATGTCTGTAAATAATTTACAAAATATGGTAAGAAGAGTTATTCCACTACAACTATTTACAACATTTGCGGCCACCTGTTTGTAAATCGAAACAAGAAAACCAGTCATCAAATTCCCAAGAAAATAGGATCTTTCAAACAGAATATAGAAAATAAGTTCACAATATAGCATGGCTGCTTATCATTTACAAAGTAAACTCCGCTATGGCATTATCAGAGCCAGAAGCATTGTCATCTGTAGGTTGTAATGTGCTAATATTAAAAAAAAATTGTGTTCATAGTAAATCCTGCATTCTGATAAGCTGATTTGGTCACGTGTTATTGCATTCATTTCCCAATGAATGTGAAATACTAAGCCATGCCCACCGAGGCGTACTACTTTATTACTACGGAATGTCGGGAAATCCTAATATTACAATTCCCATTCTCAGGGAACTAATGTTTGAATCTTACGGTAGCTGACTATGACATTTGAAACAGCCGCCTTCTCCTGGATATATTTGTTTTGGTTCATTCGCAGTCTGTCAGTTTCCTTTAATGTGAAATCGTCTGATGAAAATCCACATAAACTGTTACCATGACCCTTTAGATATTCAAGAATAAATCCCCTACAACGGCGAAGGTGCGACTAACGTGTAATGTGGTTATAATCACTGACAAGATCTTGTAGTTCATCCAGGTAGAGATAATGAGAGTACGAATCACACGTCCAGGACAGGAAGCTTTGGTCTAATTAAGGGAGACAGGGGATACCCTTTCGCTTTAAATATCCCTTCATTTTCGTCTTGACCCGTGAAGATCCGGGGAAGAACAGGTCTTCAGCAACCCATGCTTGCTGTAAAAGGCGACTATGCTTGTCGTAAGACGCGACTACTGGGATCGGGTGGTCAGGCTTGCTGACTTGGTCGATGCATGTCATCAATCCCAATTGCGTGGATTGATGCTCATGATATTAATCACTGGATTATCTGGTCTTGGGTAAAGTTGTTGTTCCAAATATCTTCTCCGATGTCTTAATTATAGTGTCGGGTGTTATATTTGTCTCGGGCTCCACCCTTAAATATCGTGTACATACGTTCATGACCACCAACACATACACCGTCATTGTTACACATCAGCCAAGTCCATGTCATATCGACATTCAACAAACGATAAAATATCTACTTACTACAGGTATTTCCTTCACACACAGTGTAGCAGCTCCAGTCATCCCTTTCAAACATTTCATTGTATATTAGCCGAGCCAGTTGACGAGACTCGTGTCTATCCTGTCTATCCTGTCTCCAAGCATGACGTCAAGCATTGTGGTGTTATTTTCAGCGTGATATTCTTTAGCCGACATCATTAGCCAATCAGACAAATAAGTCAGCATTCCTGGAACCATGATCACCTAGTGATGCCTATTATCATGATAATTATCGGTCTGAAATACTGGACAAGTTTGGTAAGTAGACAAATGATATATTTACTAAACATTAGGTTAGTGTTTGCTCATCTAAACGATATTTATATGAAAAATCATTTAAACATGTTTTGGTAATGATGATATAGATATTAAGTAAAAGGTCACGATTTTTACAAAAACTTATTATTCATTAATAGGTAGACAAAGAGAGCTAAATAGCCAGTTACCTGTACGCTGTATCAGTGAGTGTATATGCATGTGTCTGTGTCAAATATATGTGCCCTAATTGCGTAGTACATCATGATCAGTGTGATGAACATCGGCTCGTAACGTAATATACGTAACATGTTATAAAGCAACATAATAGATCGTACGAAATATTTGAAGTGGGAGACAGCCACATGTAGGTACAGAGAGACACAGAGTCAGGAAGACAGATACACTGAGTGACGGAGATAGACAGAAATACTGGACATGCTCTAATATTTTACGAACTCTTGTCAATTTAGAATGATTGGTGATCCTAGGTTTGAACTGGTGTATTTTCTCAAGTATATTGAAGGTCACGCTAGTATATTTTGTTGCATTGCGGGGAAAACACATGAGTTGACCAGCATGCCTTGAGAAGATCTATTCATACAACTCTTAAGAGTTTTGTATGGGCAACATTCATCGAGCACCCGTCAAGTTGTTATGTGACCTGGTTTCAGGTGCGAACAATGGGCGCTCAACTTACATAGCAAAAGAGAAATGTTTCTCGCTTGACAGCATTTGTAGAATATCTTCTCAAGCGTTTATGTTTTGAATTCCCTTGAATTATATAAAGACACACCGGATTTTAACAGGTCATACAAACCAGTGGTGTATTGATGGTGAAGTGGTTCCAGAAGGAAGGCAATTTTATAACGTTTGACTTTATTAAACAAAAAGGATACCGAAACATATAGAATTAAAAGAATGTGAATATCAAATAAAAACTAAGTTTGTTTAGCACGAAGTAAATTTTAGATATATTCGTTGATTTTGGAAATACGTTAAAATCAGTAGGCGAATCCTAACAACGTGTAATGTTTGTGTGGGTTTTTTTTTTGAATTTTAACAATTTTGTAATAATGGTATTTCTTGTCAGAATTTTAAATCATTAAATTTTAGAAAACAATCACTGACAAAATTTGTTTTCGTTTATCTGCAAGTTTTTCACAAGCTCAGTTTAATGTTATTTGTTTTGATTGGTATTTTATGTGATCATGTAACTTCTTAACATGCAACGCACAACATGTAACGCGCAACATGTAACATGCAGTCGTCTGAGGCACCGCAATTGAATTGAGTCCCTTTGTGACACCCCAAAACAATCACAGGGTTGTCTGGTCCCGACTCGATTATTTACAGACCGACATCATATAGCTGGACTATAGCTGGTCTATTGCTGAGTGCGGTGCTAAGCAACAAACAAACAAAAACACCTACAAAAACAATGATCATGGGTTCCAATCCCCACATCAAGCTGACACGCCATTATATAGCTGTAAGACTGTTCAAAGGGGCCTTAAACCCAACTCGCTCACTCCCTTAACATGCAAGTTTAACGTGATCTAAAGTCAAATTAATTCATTAATCCATAATAAATGTGTCCATACAGTTAACTTTCTTCCTCTTGATGTGCTGTCATTGTGTTTCAGAAATAATGCACGTGGAAATGTTTATGTTTCTCCTGCTGATGACGGATGCAACATGCATCTCTGTCAGTGGCTGTCACACCAGTTTTAGTGCAGCCTACCAGGGTAACGTCACCGACTGTCAAAGACAGAATCTCACTCAAGTGCCATCAGATCTTCCAAAGGACATTGTAGGTTTGGATTTACAAGATAATCTTCTCACCCGAATATCCAACAACAGTTTTAGCACTTTAAGTAACCTCAGATTCCTTTATCTGAGTGCCAATCCGCTAAAGATACTGCAGAGAGATGCTTTCAAAGGTCTTGGTAAACTGGAAGTCTTGGAAATGTCTTGTGACACGCTTTCATTGGACACGACAACATACCCAGATGGACTGTTCCAGTATTTGGTTAGTCTGAGGCAATTGGTTCTGTTAGGAAGTATAAATAACGAAGGACAATTCCCTACTGATATCGTCCAAGGTCTAAAAAGTCTAGAAGAGATCCGTATTAACTCCTGGCCTAAAGACGGAAAATGGCCTCAACTAGAACAGTTGAAAGACACCCTCACACTTCTGAATATCAATACCATAGGTATACCTGTTATTGGAAACACAACCTTTCAAGCTTTGCGTGATATTCCACTTAAAATATTAAATTTCAACGGTGTTGTTAGAAATATAGAAGCAGGAGCATTTTGTCCTTTTAAGAACCTAACCAATTTGCTAATTGGCCTCTCGCATGGAAGCACGACCAAGTTCGTCTCCATAACAAGAGCTCTTCAGTGTTTGGCTGGAAGACATATGGAGGAAATAATACTGTCTCGAGTTGTTACCACAGGAGAAAGCAGTGTGACTCTAACAGAGGAGATGTTCGGTTATCTTGCAGATATATGTGTGAAAAAGCTAGACATGTCTCATAATAAGATTACACAAATTAATGATAATGCCATAACCAATTCGACTTTCTTCAGATGTATCGAATATCTAGACTTGTCTCAAAACTTGTTGAATGATAAATTGCCCCCTGCTGCAAAAAATATGTACATGATGGTAAATCTGAAATATCTGGATTTGTCTCGGGGTACAAAATTGATCTTTTCTCTCAGTAACAAATATAATACCACAAAACGAGGAGGGGTGTATTTTCCCATACCTCCTAATCTAAGTTATTTAAACCTCAGCAGATGTTCCAGTTCTTACCATTTGTATATCAGTTTAACACTGACACAAAGCGATCCTCTATCTGTGTTAGATTTCTCTAGAAATGATCTTTTAGACATTCCGTCATATTTAGAATGCTGTAAAAACCTGAAACTCTTGGACATATCCCATATGAAGATCAGTCAGAATGTATTCAACAACACCAACATGGTGACGAATCTCCAAACATTGCTTGTTCATGATGTGACGTCAGATGAAGACATGTTTGTGTCCCCATCTGAACCTTTTTTCCATGTCATGCCCAAACTAACAAGACTCGATTTGTCAGGCAATAATCTACAGCTTATCAACAAAAATACATTGAGAAACTTTAACAAATTGGAAAACCTTTCTCTTGCACGAAATCGACTGGATGACGTACCAGAAGAAATCCTGATGATGGCTAGGCTCAAACATTTGGATATGACATCGAATTCCCTGTCAGTCATCAGTAAACAGCAACAGACAATGCTCGATGACTTTGTTGTGAATAACGGTTCGTTCTACCTCTACCTAACAGGCAACATCTTCAGCTGTAGCTGTGGAACTCTTCACTTCATACAATGGTTACTTGAAACTGATGTCACTTTAGATCACCATGGTAACTACAGCTGCATCCTTGGTGATGGAACGTTGTCTGATACAGCTACCTTTTATGCAAGCAGGACATTACAGTGGAGAACATGTGTTGGTCAGTTCTGGTTGGCGATGGCCATAGTTGGAAACTTAATTGCACTGTTGTCTTTACTTGTAGCTTTTCTTTTCAAGAAATATTTCCCCATAATAGAATACCGCGAATTGGATATCCTTGGTTATAACCCAAGACGCCGACCACAAAGGGAGGATTTTGATTATGATGCCTACATATGCTATGAAAGTGCTGAGTATCATTGGCCATGTCATTGTCTCTTCAAGGAGCTCCAAAAGGTCCCCCCTGGTATAAGACTGTACCTGCCCGACGTACATGAACCTGTAGGGTATTCCCATGCTGAAGCGACCATTGATGCTTTGTCGAGAAGTTGGAAGATTGTTATCGTGCTTACAGAGAACTTCCTGAGAGACGAATGGATACACTTTACTGTCCTGTCTATTGTCAAACTGATGTCCGTGAACAACGCAATCACGGACCGGGTCCTGCTTCTGTACAGGGATATGTCCTTGGCAGCGAGAGCTCGAGTTCCTCATTTTCTCCTCAACGTGGTTTCAGAGGAACACATTCTGGACGTGGAGGAACACCCCCAGTTCTGGACACATCTGTGTCAGCGTATCCTCAACGCTGATCCCGCAGCCTTATTCTAAAACTTAACATTTGATGTTTAATACAATATATTTAATATCTTTACGAGAATGTCAAAAGTGAGATGAGTTCTGTTCATGATGAAATTGACTGAAAGTTCGAAGCATATGAAAGAAAGGTACAAGATTTCCAACAAATATACTGAGGGGTTATAAAAAGGAAACAAATGTATAATGCTGTTGATAATTCTTTAGTCATAAAGAACCTGAATGTTCACACGCACGAGGATAAGGATTCGCGAGTGACAAAGAACAAGGTGTTGGCGCTTCTGCCTGACGATCAGGAACTACGCAAACAATGTTAAAATAAAAGGAAGAGGCCTAGAGGAAATAAACCCACGTTTAGTCAGAGCAACTATGGATTCTTTGGAAGCAAAAGCTGAAGTTATGAAGGCTAAATCTACGCTGAAAGACTCTCGTAAACATAGGGATATTTATACTGAACATTGCACAACCCCTGAGGAGTGAATGAAGCCCTACATCAAGATGTGAGGTTGCAGTACGCGTGATTGACTACATAACAGACTCTTTTAACGTTTCCATGGGTACTAAGCAAGGTTGCAAATTGTCACCAACTCTATTTTCTCTATATATAAATGATGTTGCCAAGCTGATAACGACTCTCAAATGGGTGTACCATTGGATAATGAAATGTTACCCATTTTTGTTATACGCTGATGATAATGCGTTGTTAGCTCAAAATACAAAATATCTGCAACATATGTTAGATATTGTATGTACTTGGTGTTTAAAATGGTGTATTAGTATTAATGAGAAAAATCGAAATTGTCTGTTTTCGGGGGGGGATCTATTTTTAGATCTTGTTATATGTCTTCTTGTTACAATACTCACATTTCTTATGACAGCGCTTATCGTCATTTAGGATTGTGTCTAAAAGAATATTTAGACATGCACAAGCCTTTGAAAGAGCTTTGTTAGTCCGCTAGTAGAGAGTTAACTGCTCTGTACACTAAGTATATTTATGCTGTTGGAATGTCACATTATGTTTTTACGAAGTTGTATAAATCGCTGGTACAACCAGTTTTGTTTTATGGTGCCAGTATATGGGTCTTTCATAGTTTTAAAGAAGCTGAAGTTGTGCAAAATAAGGCTGCCTGAATGTTTCTTGGTTTAAGTAAACGTGCACCTGTTCTTGCAAGTAGAGGGAATATGGGCTGGTGCTCAGTTACGTTTACTCAGAAAACAGAATGTTTCAGACTTATATCTATGCAGCAAGAGCTTCTGCCTGATATTATTCACCGATTCTTTGGATGTTTTACCACTTCTTACTCGAAATCAGATTGGGTGTTAAATGCTGTGTTGGGTATATTAAAAACGTTTTATTTCAGGATGACGTAGTTAATTTTCACACTTCGTTTTGGAATGTTAAGTGTAATGTAAATGGAAATAAGTTACGTACTTACAGAAAATATAAGTTTACACCTGCTGTTGATTTCTATGTTAAAAATATTGTGTATAGAGACCACCGCCGTCTTTTAGCCAAGTTTAGATGTTCAATTTTACCTTTGTTTGTTGAGACAGGTAGATGTTCCAAACCTTCTATACAATTATCGGAAAGGTTATGTAAATATTGCGATTGTGATTTGGTGGGAGATAAATGTCACTTTTAACTACAAAGCTGTTTTATGAAGATTTACGGTATGATTTATACTGCCCAGCTGAAAAAAAAACCTGAAGTTTAATGTGATATGCGAAGAAGAGAAATTTATTCATTTTATGAATTCAAACGTTTTACCAAAGTTGCTTGCCGCAACGCTTTTGAAAATGTTTAAGAGACGACAGTTGTCACCATGATTATTTAATTGCTCTCTCGTTCTTTATTGTCCTGTGAGTCTTCTGAATTCGTAGCTAAATTTCCCACCTCTCACATTGTATGTATGTATATAATTTGTTTATGTTGTATAAAGTGTCTTTGTCTGGATGGACGCACTCCATACACCTTTTGTGCTATGCGTCAATTTTATATTGTACATGTTGTGCATGTGACACTTAAATAAACGTTTTACAATCAACATCGTTCAGTTTTCTTAACCTTTCTGCAAAATTTAATCCTGAACTTACCGTTTTTGTTAACAAAGAGATCACTGTGGTCGCCAAGGAAATTCATATAAAATGTATGACACTGTACCTATGAAGTGCCAAACAAGCAAATTCTGCTTGGATATTGTGTCAGTGACGGCTTCAAACAATAGAGCAACGTCACGGTCGAAATAAGAATGGATAACCGCGACGAACATACAACATATTAAGGTGGCACGTGGTATTGTGGACAGCGTACAGGTCACAAATCAACTGAAGTTAAGCAACGTTGGTGGCGGAGAGTAGTTGGATGGGTGATTGCGCTCGGCAGCTTGACTCCTGAAGTACATTGTGCAGGCTTAGGCAAGTGTGTCTTGGTTCACATGCCTTTTTCATCCAGCAGTGAATGGGTCTCCGGTAGAATGAGATGGTAATGTTAACCTTAATATAACTGTTAACCTTCAAGCTCCTCAGTCAACTTTGGTTGTATACTCATCAGGGAGATGAGAATGCACTGATTCATCTCTAGTGTTCTGAGTGTTCTTATGGTATCCAAAATGGGATGATAAGTAGATTTCATGTAGATCATAGTTAAGGAAGAGAAGATATGGATGTCAAGTTCTTAATAATTAAACGTCACTCACAACGTTGGCTACAGAAAGTGCTGGTTTATCCTCAGTTAGAGCTACTGAAAGTAAACAAAATGCGTCTTAATCGAACCTGCTTTTGGCAGAGGTTTCTTTTGAATGCGGACATGATCTGTTGCTAATATCTATATTTAGTTTGTTTGTGATGGTAAAATAGCTCTCGCAACAAGTAGCATCAGCAGAGGAGGTTGCTGTACTTATTATCTCCACAAACAAATGGATAGATTGCGTAGTGATGTTGAAAGTGATACAAGGACGCTACTCTTGCTCACTCGTAACCGGACATGGTACAGATTTGAACCATTTTTCAGCCACCGCCTGTTGGTTAAAAGCGATAAGCTTGCGTCGCACACAAACAGTGGAACCAATTTAGAAACGCTTCCCCCTTTTTCGATCTCCTGGTATTCTTCCTGTAAATTAAAATGATTGGTGAGTGTAAGCTCTAATTGGTGTATTCACTCATATATTGAGTACACAAGGGAAATTCTATCCTGCCAATACTTTAGGAGGTTGAATGCCCTTCATTCCTCGATCACCCGCGAACTGATGCTGTAACTCCTCTGTTGCCAAAGTCATCAAACAAAGACCTGGTTTCAGCGGCCAATAAACGCTCAGCTTACATAGCACAGACGGCAACCGTATGTCGCCTGACATCATTTGTATAGAGACATGGTCTTCTGGGTGTCTGCTCTGGACATTGCTTTAATGGTAGACACCGAACAGGTTCTCACAAAGCTTCAGACAGAGTGGGATTCCTTCCATGTGTTTTAAACAGATTCATGTCATTAATTTTACATGAGCCACTACTTCACCGTCTAACTGAAACTTGTATTCCCGGGGGTATACAAACTAGTGGGTTATTGACAATGGCGTATTCAAGCAGGAAGACGATTTGGTATTACGTGACTTTATTCAACAAAAAGGAAGAAACAAAATGCTTAGAATTAAAATGTTTACAAACAGCAAACCGAGAATGCGGCCTTCAACGTCTGGTGTGTATGAAGCAAATTTAAGATATACGTTGATATTTGAATGGAGTTTAACAAGAAGACAACTTCTTACAATGTTGCATGCTTTTGACGTGGTTGTTATTGTAGAAACAATGATATATCTTGTCAAAATTTGATATAATTGAATTCTAAAACAACAAGCACCGAAGCAGGTTTGTTTTCATTTATCTGCACGTTATTAGGCCAAATCTACTGGTACGTGATATCATGTGTCATACGATAACTTCTTAACAAGGGGCGGGGCGATTGGGTAGCCTAGTGGTTGAAGCGTTCGCTCGTCACGCCAAAGACCCGGGTTCGATTTCTCTTCAAGAAATATTTCCCCAAAATAGAACACCACGTATTACACATGCTTAGTTTTAATCCAGGACGCCGACCACAAAGGGAGGATTTCGATTATGATACCTACATATGCTATGAAAGTGCTGAGTATCAATGGCCATGTCATTATCTCTTCAAGCAGCTCCAAAAAGTCTCCCCTGGTATAAAACTGTACCTGCCCGACTAACATGACCCTGTAGGGTGTTCCCAGGCTGAAGTGACCATTGATACTTTGCCGAGAAGCTGGAAGATTGTTATCGTGCTTACAGAGAACTTCCTGAGAGACGAGTGGATACACTTTACTGTTCTGTCTACTGTTAGACTGATGTCTGTGAACAACGCTATCACGGACCGGGTACTTCTTCTGTATAGGGATATGTCCTTGGCAGCGGGAGCCCGAGTTCCTCATCTTCTCCTCAATGTGGTTCAGAGGAATACATTCTGGACGTGGAGGAACCCTGTGGTCCTGTGTACAGCACATAGGTACAAACCAGGTGAAAGTAAGCAACGTTAGTTGCGCAGTGTATTTGGATGGGTGACCGCGTTCGACAGCCTGACATCCGAGGGACATGGTGTATCGTTAGAAGAGTGTAGTTGGATGGGTGACCGCGTTCGGCAGCCTGACACCTGAGGGACATGGTGTATCGTTAGAAGAGTGTAGTTGGATGGGTGACTGCGTGCGGCAGCCTGACACCTGAGGGACATGGTGTAACGTTAGAAGAGTGTAGTTGGATGGGTGACTGCGTGCGGCAGCCTGACACCTGAGGGACATGGTGTAACGTTAGTAGAGTGTAGTTGGGTGGGTGACGGCGTTCGGCAGCCCGACTCCCGAGGGACATGGATTGACGTTAGTAGAGTGTAGTTGAGTGGGTGACTGCGTTTGGCAGGCTGACACCTGAGGGACATGGTGTATCTTTAGTAGAGTGTAGTTGAGTGGATGACGGCGTTCGGCAGCCTGACTCCTGAGGAACATGGTGTATCGTTAGTAGAGTGTAGTTGGGTGGGTGACAGCGCTCGGCAGCCTGACACATGAGGAACATGGTGTGACGTTAGTAGAGTGTAGTTGGGTGGGTGACGGCGTTCGGCAGTCAGACTCCTGAGGAACATGGTGTGACTTTAGTAGAGTGTAGTTGGGTGGGTGACGGCGTTCGGCAGTCAGACTCCTGAGGCTTTATCCAAAATGTTCTGTTCGGGGAATCTGCTCATTCAGTCTTGTTCATTCATTAACACTGCCAAAAAATTCTTTTTTCAAAGCGGCTTTTACACTGACAGCAGTGTCGCGGTTACCTGAGTATGTCGGGACACGAAACGGTGCTTGCATCATTTACATCTTACAAATCTTATGTAGTTTGGTTCATCACGCTGTTATATTGCAGTTTATTTTGTTGTTTAACAGTGGTTTTACCTCGTTTCTGTAGAGATTCGGTAGCCGCTAATTACAATATATTTCGGAAGTGATAGTCCTCAGGAATGTAGTACTATTTCATCTAAGCAGTCGTCAGGAAGCTACTATATTTAGATACTAGTTTTGTGTGTAAACTTCCGGTTTACCGTGACCTGGTATGAAATATTCTGTGGTGTTTAGGAACCGATTTGGACAGTTCATAAGGGGACAGTAGCGTGTTTACACATCTCTCACACTTTTGGATCTCTCACATATTTCGTCTCGCACGCATTTCATCTCGTCTCGCACCAGCTTTCATGTGAGGATCGCTCATTATTCCCGATTCCCTGGCTCGCCCATCTTGGAAACTTGACCACCGTGGCCGCTGGGTGAATATATATTAGTATCACTGACTTTTTCCATCACCACTGTAATTTTCTATTTGATTCTGACCACTGCCATCGTATTAGTTATTGCCATTGAATATTGTACAACCACTCTTTTGTTTTCTGCCATTGTAATTGCTGTGCTGTAATTTATATTGATTTGTTAACTAAGTTAATAGTATAATTCATTCGTTGATTGAATACCACTTGTTAGTTGTTTGTTGGTTTCACACTAAGATGTTTTAGATTCAGATTTCTGGATTAGCCTATCGTTTCAATTTGGGAATAGACACGTAGCAGTGCTCATAGAACTTCCATGACCAATGGACCTTTATACCTTATACCGTTATACCTGTTGACATAACTGTATCTGTACATAGCACATGCATATAGTTCGATTGTGTAGTGTGTCTGCAGTTAATATGACTAATACAGAATGCATAGCGAAATTGAAGTGTGTGACGTGCTTGTTCGGTGTAATGAAGTGTAAGTCACGAAGAAGTCTCTGATTTTTTTATAAATGAAAACAAAGTACCGACCTGACCTTTCAGATATGCACTCATCAATTTAAATGAAGTGAACACATTGATCATTTCACCATCTGTCCCTTACACCTTGTGGTTAATAGTAGATAGAAAGTAGTACCTTCCGGACAAAAGCATTCCTGTGGAGCGTGGAGTACCAACAAAAGCATTCCTGTGGAGCATAGAATTTCAACAAATTCCTGTGGAGCATGGAATTTCCATCAAAAGCATTCCTGTGGAGCGTGGAATTTCTAACAAAAGCATTTCTGTGGAGCGTAGAGTAAAGAAACAAACAAAAGCATTCCTATGGAGCGTAGAGTAAAGAAACAAACAAAAGCATTCTTGTGGAGCATACCACAGAGGCCAGTCAAATCACACAATAGAAGCAAATTTTGCTAAAGGAGACTAGCAGTAAGGCTGGCTCTGTATATAATCGCTCTGTTCAAACATGTAACTATGTCACCGCACATTAGTATCAATACACTAGGGGTAGCTCTCTCTCACCCACTCTTTACACGCAAGAGTGAATCTATTCGTGTGTGGGTTTTAGCCGCTGAACCTGTTCACCCTTTCACCGATGTCAATTCATTTATAAACATTTTTCTCTACTTCATTCACGTTTCACTAAGTGTTAAAATATTATGTTATTGTTCAGAGCGGTATTCATTAACCTTTATCTATTAACCTTTATCTATTAACATTTCTATCACTCTTTAACTTT